GATCTTTGAAGGATACATAGCCACCAGGAAAAGTTAACTCTTTCCTGGATAGGTATGTTTAGTGGGACAAGACTGCCCTCTATAGACCAAATAACTAATTTGCGATCTGGAAGATAACCACACCTCTAGTGCTTCTATTGGGTTATCAACTGATGACGTACAGAGAGTCTGGCCCTTTAAAAGTTAAGACAAAGGGAAGATAGAAATACGAGAAAAGGCAGATCCAGGGGGCAGATGCAGGACATATGCAAAGGAGAGGAGAGAGGAATTGGAAGTTTGGGGACTCCAACTCGGACAACATCTGAGACTAACACTCTACTCCTAAAACTCTAACACTTAGAATTTACTGATTTTAACCAACACCTCCATGCAGAGAGAGACATCCAAATAAGTTCCTGAGACTACCAATCGGATGAAATATCTACTCAACTGGTAATTATACTGGTTTCATTTAATTAAATTAAATTAATTAAAATGTATTAATAGCATTATATATGACTGGATAAAGCACGGTCAGATTTCCATATTAAGAAATCTTAGTTAACTAATAATATATAGTTATAAACATTCCATTCTGCAGGTGGAATTAAGAATAATTATATATTGATGTGATATTATCATGTGTTAGCATACCGCTGTTTTTATCCAGGTGTATTGATTTGCTCTAAATTAAGATAGATATCTTTAGACAAATTAAAAATCTGCTTATATAATATGATAGATTCTCTTATTGGATGGATTTCAGGAAATGACTAATGAACTGATTTAAATGTTATTTTATTTAAAATTACATAAGAATAGATCTTAACTACCTAGGAGATCTAGCCAGCATTGAAAGGGTTATTCTAACTGTCAGCTAAACTTTACGACCTTACGGTGCACTCTGAGGAATTCTGTTCTTTGCTGTGAAAAGTTTCACTTTCAGCCTGTGTTAAGGATAGTTATAAATAATTCTTGACAGGAAATGCTATTTAGCCATTGTAACGTAATACCCATTTCTTTGTATTGCATATAATTTTATACTGAATATTCATTGATTATTGTCATGCATGTTACATAATATTATTAATTAATTTGTCATATAAATAAAAATCTATTTTTATACATTGTGATTTTAATTATATGAAATACTTTCACTTAACACGATAAACGATATTTGGGATCTGAGAATTGAATTAGTGGGCAATTCTCAACTGTTTACTATTATTATCCCATAAATATCCCCACATATTGGAGGCACTGCTGAGATCGTTTAAGTTGAAATTATATTTCATATATAATAATATTGGTGTAATTCATGCAATTTAATCTTGATATAGAAAAGAGTTTTGTATTGAGATTAAATCACTGTATAGAAATATGGCTGAATCCAGTAATACATCTGTAACAGATAATACTGAAATAATTGAAGACCTAAGAAAACATGCTCTAGTTCATATTCATAAACATATGAAAAATGATGCAACCTATGAGGTTTGGTTGAAAAGCATAGAATGGGAAGCTAAACACACCATTCTAACTGATGAACACATCATCATATATCTTAAAGAAATTGCTGAACAAAAGAACATAGAAAGGAAAATGGCGTACATAATACACTCTTGGCCTTTCTTTATGACAGCACTTCTTAAGGTGTTAGATGAAAACAAGTCATTGAATGCCAAATTGGACACGTACAGTGACGATCTGGGCATTCAAAATGGGAAATACCAAGATTTACTTGCTGAGCATAAAACTCGTCAGGCTGATCATGAAAAAGAAATGAAAGCTTTGATGGATAAATATGCACAGGAAATAAATCAGCTTAAAATGCAATTGGATGAGTATGAAAAGGAGAATCAGAAATTAGACAGTGAGGTTAGTAGTCATCATTCTGTGCCAAAAAGTTGCACAAAAATGCAAGAAAAGACTATTTGTAAATCCCCTCCTTATTATGATTTTCCCACACCAAACCAGGTTTTCATAAAACAGTCTGTAAGTAAAGATGTGAGTAATTCTAAAAAATCACCTGTGGAACAAGATTCCCCATCTCATGACATTACCAAGCCATCTTGGCAATCTTGGGCAGAACAGTTTGAAAAAGCTGTCTTGGCCAAACTTGAGAGGGAGAGTCCAATTCAAGGTGACAGGAATGAAAACAGACATGGTTCTGTACACTGGCAGGATTCTGATGCTGATCAGAATTGTGACAGTGAACAAGAAGCTCAGAGTGATGGGAGTGAAAGTGATTGCACTCTCCACTCTGAAGGCCATGTAACTGATATGCCATCTGCACTGTTGTACGGGTCTAATTCCTCTTCAGCAGACAGATCGCATAGACGTTTACCCAAACACAGAAACAGAGATCGTAAATCAACGACGCCTGTTTATGAAACACCAAAGGTCATCAAATTCCTTAGAGAGACTGTCCCACAATTTTCTAGAGGTTCAGGAAACATATCTGAACATCTGGAAAATTATGATAGAGCAATGAATTCATTGGGTATGTATGATGACATTCATAAGAAATGGTTCATTACATGGACCTTTGATTCAATGTGCCGTGTTTATCTAGAAAGTCTTCAAGCTATACAGTTAATGTCCTGGTCCAAGATGAAATATGAAATAATCATGGAATATGGTAAGTATAAAACCATTGCCTCTGCAAAGAAGGCGCTTTATAACTTAAAGTGCCGTCCAGATCAAAGCCCCAGAGAATTTTTAATAATTCTTAAAAATGCATACTCCGTGGCCCAAAGAAAACCCAGGTATGAAAGCACAGACTTCAAAGATCTGTATTTTCATGCCATGCCGGTAAACATACAAATGAATCTCGCAAGAGATTACGATTGTAAGTTGCCATTAGAATGGCTAGTCAGTCAATGCATGAAGTTGTACACTATACACCATGCACATGACGAAAATCAGCCAAAGGTTAAGAAACCTGGTGATAAAATGGTGTCAGAGACTAAAATTCAGTTAGGTTTAGAAACCCAACAGAAAAAGAGGACCTATTCCGAGGTTTTGAAAACACCAAAACCTCAGAAACAGGAAAACGCTAGAAGCAATTCTGCAAATTCCTCCAATAACTCTGAAAAATCCAATGCCAATGGGAATAAACGCCCCTGGGTTAATAAGAACCAAGGCAATTCCCAATGGAGAAGGAATCCTCAGGGAAATAGGAGATATGGAAACAGAAACAACCAATCTGCTTCCAATAACTCCCAACAGTCTCAGCCATCCCAACCAAATTCTAATGGGCAAAGACAAAACGGCAATGGGGGAAATAATTTGCGTCGTCAGGTTGGTCAATTGACAGACCAGATGGGCAAATTAATGGAGGAAA